GAGTCAACCAATAGAGTTGAAGGGAACATGTGCATAGCAGTCAGAGCTGTTTCATTGCCGCATATAATATACCCTGTTCACCCCTTTCGGACCACAGTTATAAGCACTCAGACGCGCTGATTAAGTAAGCGAACTATTACACTGGTCGAGTTTACCTCACAGATGTGAGGGGAACTAACTCCTAATAATCCTTTGACTCCTGCTACTACACTGCTAGTGCTTGTTTTTTTTCCCTCGACTTTTTAACGTCCTATAATCAGATCGTGACCTCGATTATGACACCGGCTCCTGGCCGCGAAAAGCTAGACAAAAAACAGCCAAATGTGAAATAAAAAAATAAAAATTGGCATGCTCTACCAAAGTGTTTCGGCAGTCTGGTATAACATGCCATTGTAGTGCTGACATCTCTGCTTCTTTCCTTGGTGTTCGTGTGTTCAAATCTAAAGTTAAATTTAAGGTTAGTTAGAATAAATATTTAATTAAATACTTTCCCGATTATTTTAGCGGTTGAACAGGGCATACAACATGAATTCAGGATTTGTTTTCATTCACAACTCAGAGTTGCCGCCTCCAGTGCCAGTAAGATTCTTGTGACTTGTGTGAGTGTGATATCTCCAGGCCCTGTCTGGTCCCATTTCACTTTGATTACCCTGTCAAACACGTCAGCCTTCGCCCCTGAGTGTAAGATTTTGTTATTTGAGCAGTCGCTGACCGATGGGGTTGCCCCTGCAGGTGGGGGAGTAAAGAATACACCTACCGTGATAAAGCGTGTCGTAAGAGGCGACTAAAGGTGCATAAGAGTTTCAACTGCAGTTGAGGGAAGATTTCAACCCTTGGTGGATCTTGGTTAGGAGGACATGGAAGTGGAAATACACTGGATCAAGGTCAAAGATGTCGTTACTTCAACGTATCAAGAAATACCCGGTGAGAAGAAACTGGAACATAAGGAATGGATTAGCCAACGGTAATTGGATTTAATCAGCATTAGAAGACAATTGAAAGTAGAGACAAATGCAAATAGAACAAGGGGATCAAAAGCGGACGCTCTGGAGCAGTACAGGACAACAACTAAAGATGTAAAGAGATCATTGAGAAAAGACAAGGAGGAATTCATGAACAGGCTGGCAGAGGGGTCAGAGGAGGCAGCAGCAGGAGGACACAGGCGAATCCTTTACCAGACTACAAAGACTCTTTCTGAAAAATATGGGAAACCAGATGTAATAGGAAAGGACCAAGAGGGAAAAAAACCATTTTTGGAAACGAAGCTCAGTCAAAACAATGGGTAGAGCTTTTCAAAAGTGTCCTGAACAGACCACCACCAAGTAACTCTCCAAACATCCTGCCAGCAAGAAATGAGTAACCAATCTGCTGTGATGCTCCATCGAAACAAGAGACTATGAATACCATGAACAAGCCGAACAACGGTAAAGCGGCCGGTCCGGATCAGATTCCACCCGAGGCCCTAAAAACAGATGCCAATGTGACGGCAGACCTCCTTCTCCCATTGTTTACCAGGATCTGGAATGAGAGCAAGTTCCCAAAGGATTGGAAAGAAGGACACATTGTGAAACTTCCTAAAAAGGGGGATCTCAGCAACTGCAACAACTACCGAGGAATCACTCTTCTCTCAATACCAGGTAATGTCTTCTACAGAATCATTGTGGAGAGAATCAAGTCTGCAATGGATACAAGACTTCGGGATGAACAGGCTGGTCTTCGGAAAAATCGGTCAACCACGGACCAGATTGCAACGCTGAGGATCATAATAGACACAGTCCCTGGAGTGGAACTCCCAGTTGATCGTAAATTTTTTTGGACTATGAGAAGGCCTTTGACAGCATAGACCGAGCAACCCTGTGGAAGGTACAAAGACATCACGGAATCCCACAGAAGTTGGTAAATCTCAAAGGATGCCTGTATGAAGGGACAAGTTGCTGGGTTATACATGATGACCAGCTCACTGACAGCTTTGGTATCAAGACTGGTGTGAGACAGAGATGTTTACTATCACCTTTCCTCTTTATCTTGGCAATTGACTGGCTGATGAAGGAAATCACCAGAGGACACAGAAGCGGCCTACAGTGGACCCCATGGACACAGTTCGACGATCTGGACTTTGCAGATAACTTGGCGCTTCTGTCTCGCACTCAGGAACAGATGCAAGCAAACACAACAATTTTAAACAGCCTATCTGAGTCTGTTGGATTGAGGATCCACCCCGGAAAATCAAAAGTCCTTAACTTAGGATATATGCACTTCGAAAGGAGCAGGTCACAGTAGAGGGAAATGCACAGGAAGACGTCGAATCCTTCTGCTATCTTGAGAGTATAATTGACAGAGAGGGGAAACAGGCGCTCAAATAAAGTCCTGCATTGGAAAGTCACAGACTTCGTTTATTCTTTGAACAAGATTTGGAGGACCAGGGATCAGGGGCGGCTCGTGGGTGTAAAAAGTGGGAGTGCACAATTAATCTATCGCAGGCTGAAGATGGTCAAAGGCATAGTAAATGAGATGGTGTATAATTTTAGAATCTTTGGGTTGGTGAGGGAGGACCTCGCGCTTTTATTATTTTCATTCTTTTTACTTATCGCTTTGATTTCTAGAACTTATAATCTGTTTGTTAGCGAAATATCAAATTCGTTCATCCTGAGAACTGAACACTCCAGAAATAACTTTCACCACTCCACTACAAAACCATTCAAAGGCACAACCCATAGGACGGTGTCTTAAGTAGGTCACGTTCACCTCCCTCAGGTTCACGGTTACAGAGTCACTTAAAATAGCGGCAAGACAATGAACCAATCATAGTTCACTTGAGCACTCCGCTGGATTGCTCCGAGGCTCACATACTTTTGGCATTGAATAGCACACAGTCTATCGTGTTTATTTTTAGACTGCCTACTGAGGGCTATGTTTTGCACTATTCGGCAGGAGCACATTTGAGATGTGCGGTCTTATTAATATTAATGTACCGCCAAACTCGCTACGAGTGTCGTCTTCGCTTGGATTATCCCAAAGAGCGATTTATAGGTCAGGTTACCTCTGTTGAATATCTTATTGAGTTTAGTTATACCGTGTGGACTTTGGCATGGCATAGTAGATGTTTTACGGTACTATAGACACATAAATGACAGTTACGGCGCCAGCGAAGACATTGTTTTGATTATATTTGGCTAGTGCTCGTTTCTTGCTTCTTTTCATTTATGTTTGTGGGTGCTTTACGTAATATAATATTTAAAAAATTTGGACGGCACTGCACGACCTTGCTCTATGGACGAACCGCGCCTGCCAGGGATATCTCACTACGGACAAAGCTGAGAATTTTCAACTCAAATGAGAAGTCAGTCTTGTTGTATGGATGTGAGACGTGGAATGCATCTAAGACGTGCCTAAAGCGGATCCAGGTTTTCTTGAACAAGCGAGGAAGCTACTGAGGATCAGATGGACAGAAAGAATCACCAACGAGGAAGTACTAAGGAGAACGAGACAGAGCCCAGCCAGAGATGATGTGGGAAGAAGGCGTTGGCGTTGGATTGGACACACTTTCAGGAAGTCATGCAGCTGTATAATAAGGAAAGTGCGAGATTGGAACACCCAAGGGAAAAGATCATGGGGAAGACCACGTGGAACCTGGAGAAGAGCCCCGAAAGGGATGTACAGAAAAGTTGGAAGACATATGGAGTGACATCAAGCGACTCGCCCAGGATAAAGAAAGGTGGATAGGGTTTGTTCGTGGCCTGTATACTGATCCAAGGTGAGAAAGGCGATGATGATGACTGATGGGGTGAATCAGTTTTAAAAAATCCCCCCCCCCAACAACAACAACAACAAAAACAAAACAACAACAAACGACAACACCAAATAACAAAACAAAAAACACAGAACAAACCCAACCCCTCCCCAAAAACAAAACAAAAGCACCCCCCCCCAATAAACAATAAAAAACACAAACCCCCCACCCCCCCTCTCTCTCTCTCTCTCTCTCTCTCTCTCTCTCACACACACACACACACACACACACACACACACACACACACACACACACACACACACACACACACACACACACACACACACACACACACACACAAAACAGTTTGTTTTTGAGATAACTAAAGAATTTTGGCGTTTGTGTTTTGACATTGACGAAATTCAGCGTTCGATTCCGTAAAACAAATTTCTACTTTTTCCAAGATGACTTCTCTTAAGAGTAACCTACAATTCTCATGTGACCGTCAAAAACTGATAATAATAGGCCTATATTTGCTTTTTTATTTTAGGTACAAGTAGGGGAATGGAGAATGGAATTGGGGCAGGAGTAGAGTGATGGCTTGTGTGTGTGTGTGTGTGTGTGTGTGTGTGTGTGTGTGTGTGTGTGTGTGTGTGTGTGTGTGTGTGTGTGTGTGAGAGAGAGAGAGAGAGAGAGAGAGAGAGAGAGAGAGAGGAGAGAGGAGAGAGAGAGAGAGAGAGAGAGATAAAGAAAGAGAGAGGGATAGAGAGAGAGAGACAGATAGGTAGAGAGAATTTCGAAGAGAGGGTATACTTGCCCACAGGAGACGTAGGCTACACGTTTACTTTCTTTCAGATTAGAACATGTCATTTCAATGTATTTTACAGTATATTAAAGAGAATATGTCAAAACATGTCTCGAATATTGGTTAAGGGTGTTGTTTTTATTTCACTCCCTAATTCCTGCTTGTCTCTCACTACTTCTGGGTTGATACAGATACTGTGCTACAGTTCCCTCCCTTCTTCTGGAAATCTAGGTTAGAAAGTCGGTGGACTAATTTAGGGGTTGTTTTTACTTTGTAGCTAAAAGAGCTCTAAAGATAGAAATAAAAAGTAAAACTCTGTTATACATTGCTACGATATTAATAAAAACGTTGTTATTTTACATTGACTCACTCCTTCAATTAAAACAAAATCTAGTCATATACAATCATAAATCTCTTCAATATAATATTTTCAGTGAAGATTGCAACTATATAAAGGGAAATTGGCAGAGTCAAATGATAAGTATAGATTTCTTGAATCGTTGCAATTTGTTGTCCTCAAAAAATGTCCTTATTGCGCATGCGCGAATACATATTTGTTGTCAAGAGAAGCTGAGGACGCTGCGACTTGTCGAAGCGGTCTGGAACATAGCCTGGGCTTGATTTACGAAATGCGATCATTGTCGGTGAGTAATTTTGTATTGAGCATTTCCCCTAAAAAAATACTTATGTTATCATATTCAGAGAAGATTTTCCCCATAACACTTGTAGGTCTAATGTAGTTCAAGATTTTTCTCAAGATATTGATCAGTTTTCTGTGGTTTTTTTTACGTTCTGAGTTAACCCAGAGTAAAGTAAAAGAAGTGTAGTAAATCAGCGTCGTTGAATCGGGGAATGAGGCTTGAATCTTGAATCGAAGCTCGTGACCGTGGAAGTTTTAGAGTTCTTCACATTTGAAGGGAAGTGCAGCGTATTAAAAATGTGGACCTTTGCGCAAGAATGAGTTTTTAGTTAACTTCTCGTATGTTGTCCAGTTTCTTTTTCCCCCTTTTTAAAAAATCATGATCCTGAACAAACACTTATATCTCACCATCCCCCCTCCTCTATTACTAGAATCTAGATCTAGATCTAGATCTGTCATCAACAACAGACCAGTGGCATAGCAGTCATCCTAAAAAGCCGAGCAGAGCTGATCTCATTGCTCATGTATTTGTAACATATAGCTACCCCATTTTTAAACTAGATTCTAGATCTAGATCTAGATCTTAAGATCGGTAAATTTATGATACACTCCTGTCTCTTACAGGGTATTATTTTGTAGCTGTCTAGGAATTTTTTAAGGCCCTGAACATGGTTTTGGCACTGAAAAACGTCGCAAATGGTTAGTTTAGACGTTATGGCACATCATTTCAGGGGTACTCATCGCTCGTCAGGGCGGAGACCCCTGAAACCCCACTAATGACTACAAAAGCATGCATAAGCGAAAAAAAAGCGCCTAAAACTAAGCCTTAACTTAAAAGAAAACTGACCTTATTCATTATCCATCAGCAAAATGGTGAGGGAGCTGACTTCCAGTAGTGAATTTGACGTGATTTATAAAAATACTAATGCATGCTCATGTCAGTCATGTTTACAATGAATGGTAAAAATACTGCACCACAGTAATAATATAAATTATAATTCACAATAATTTTGATAGTAATGGAACTGTACTCACCATACTGTGCTTGTTGAATCTTTTTCGTGAACATGTTTCTGTAGAGCACCACATTTCTGCACTTCCATGGAGGGTTTGGGGGGGGGGGGGGGAAGGGCGGGGGGCGTGTCCCTCTGAATTTAACCATAATTTGATGTTTGCAATTAGGTTTGATATTTCTTGCTCGCTGAGCGTCCAACATCATATCCGCACGCGTGTCTTTAAATAGAACCAGAAGTAATTAATTGTTGTTGGAGCCAAAACCCACACTCCATATATTATAGTTATCATTGGGGCCAAAGCTAAATTATCCCGATATACTTTTCTGGGATTCTCACTCTATAATTTTTTTGGTCTGAAAATCTGAAGCAAGGTATTTAGGGAAAGAAAACCAGATAAGAAAACCCAAAATAGGCAAAGATAATTGATTAAAGAGAAGTTTTTTTCTTGTCATCATCAGTAGGCCTACACTGTAGGTCAACAGTTGAAAAAGATATATGGTTAAGCAGCCTTATTTATTAGCTGGTAATATTATCTAAGTAAATATAAAAAAACCCTTTAAAAAAGTAGAACTGATAGGATATATTCTGTCTTCTATTCCTGAACAGATAGAGGAATAAGTTATATATGCTCCTTACATCAGAACTCAGTAGTTGTGCCGTGCAATTTTGAAGAAATGAAACTTAACATTGATGCCTCGTAATGTAAATTTACTATCTGTACGATGCAAGTACTGTGTGTAAAGGTGTTTTTTTTTGCATTCAACTCCATCAGCAGCATGTACTCTCAGTGTTCACTATTCACCGAGTGCTCGATGACACACACTTGATGTGACATTCTATCAACATTCGCAATGCTTTGAATTTCGAATAAGGGAAGTGGAAGGAGAGCTAATTGTGTCCCTCTAGTGTTAATGTTTGGCAAAGTCATCTGCTACACTCAGTTGAGACTCTTGAGCCCTTGATGAGCTATTCATAATGTGACAAGTGAATATTCAATAGCAATGAATACTTATAAAAGGCAGATTTTATAACTTTCTGTTCGGTCTACTTATCATTTTGTCAGAATCATCAATTATAAAATATTTGTGTAAATTTACCTTAATAATTTTTTATGATAAATAAAGGTCTTCTCTAATTTTACAACGAGTTGAAAAAAAAATGAGATGAAAATCCATTGTTCCTAAAAATCACATGGCAGTCAAATGGCTCTGCCATGTTTGAATTGCAAAAAAAAATAAAATAAAATGAATACTCTTAAAAGCAAAAATAATTTGTATTTCGTATTCAATTCCACATTCTGTCTCCATGATGACCTATCATTTATTTTAGTTAAACCTCCATAAGATGTGGGTGTTATCAAAGTTGATATATATTGAAATGAACTGGTAGGAAAACAGGTCTCAATCCCAGAACATATAAAGAAAGGATTCTGCTCCTAACATCAGTGCTCAGTAAGTCAGTAATAATGTAGGAAAAGGTTAGCTTCATTTCCTATAAAGTGCGAGCACAAGAAATGGCTTATCAAATATTTTTAAAAAATTAAGTAAATGCTAATAATTATTAATTGGAGTGACAATGATTTGTAATATGTAGAGCTGAGTTAAAACATTTTTCTTAAGGGATTTATTGAGCTGGACTTATTTTTGGCAAATAGGCAAAGTTAGGACTTAAAAGTGAAGCAATCCGTTTTGGTCGCAATGCATTGTTTGAATAGGTGGCTTACTGTGTTCAGTGTGTTTGGATATTCATTTTTTTTTCCAGTTCAGTGTATGTTATGATGGCCTCTGCTTTGAACTGAATCTCTTCTTGTTACCATGATTCATATATTTGTTTGGCTGATAATTCAGAATGTATATA